TATGTGGTGGTGTGAGCTTATGTAAGCAAAATACCCTGCAAGGTCAATTTATATTTGTGTTTCAACTGTGGCTCATTGCAGTACACAGATGTGTTAAGCAATACTGTTATATATGTTACAGTGTCGCACACTACAAATTAATCTCTTCAGGAAGGAGCGGGATTTTACGATCTATAGGAATGTTTAACACATGCTTTTCAGAAGAGATATTAAAGTGGAAAAAGGGTAATAGAGGTCGAGTGGAATAACAAGCAGGAGGGGAAATTACAGGACTAGGAAAATGGGTTGATCTTTTAACTATTCTTTTTAAGACCCAGGGTTCTTTTTCTAAAGTGGTAATGCTTTCTTTTAAAAAAAGTTTAAAATACTTTGGTGGGATGGAGCAGTGTGCCAGCTGAACTGCAGTGTAACATCAGGGGTTTTAAAACTGTATTTTACACCTAGGAATTTCCCTCTCCATTATCAGATGCAAGTAAGGTTTGTCAGGAACAGTATTTCCATGGGGAGGGGGCCCAGTACCCACAGCTCACCCAGAGCTATTCCAAGTGTGATACCACTCCTGAAGAACTGCTGGAGCTTTGCCAGGCTCCAAGCTCAGCAAGATAGCCCAGAAATACAACGCCCAGAGGCTTCTCTGAAGCACAGCATCTGCTCAGTCATTCTCTGTATCCTCCTTCCCCTCCTGCCCAGTCATTCTGAGGGCTGTTTTAGCTATTTGTTAGCTTCTAGCAAAACCACGAGTTGCAACTATTTGGAAAACCTGCAGATTATTTGCCGCCATGGGTGTATAGGCCCAATGAGAATAAATCAAGCTTAAAAGTCTGTAAAGCAAAGAGACGTGGAGGTGTAAAAAACAATTACAGTTTGCACCCAATTGGGCTCTGTAATTTGTTGCACTAATGAAACATTTCTTTTAAGTGGAAAACCTTTCAAGAATACTAATATAATAATTAATATTCACGTTACCTAGGGAACCTGAGACTCTACTGTCTGTAGCTAGAAGAGCCTTTGCAGAGGAAGCTACCCAGCACAGCTTTTCTTCTGAAGCTTTAAGAATGATGCTTCCAGGCAGCTGTGAGTCTATTTCCCCTCCCTTTCCAAGTTTCTACCAATCCTCTCTTATAACCAAGAAATCCAAAGACTTGCTTTGTCTAAAACAAGTTACAGCTGATGTAAATCTGAAAAGGGAGGAAGAATTCAAGCGGGCTTAGAAACAAAGGGATAATGTGAAGATTCCAGATGATTCTACATGATTCTATGATTGTAGAGCCATAAAGAACAAGAAAATTAAAAAAAAAAAAAAAAAGAAAAAGAGTAGCACAGCTGAATTTAATAAAGGGAAGGTCTGAACAAAAAAATACTTAAATAGTTCTCTACACGTCAGCAACAGTTAATGAAGAAGACTTTCCCTAAATCACTGTTAGCAGGATGGCATTTACACCACTTCTGGTGTAGGCACACCACCTTTGCTAGCTTCTATTGCAAAGTTAGATAAAACCTCTTCAGCAATGGCTGACAAACACTACTGTGAGGCACAATAAATCTTAACTAGATTGCAAGAGCAATGAACCAAGTGCTTGCACTTGCTCCTCTGAGGGCAGCCTGAATCTGGCAGTGCTGATGTCAGCATTACAGATACTGAAATAAGTGAAGGGCCAGGAGACTGGTTCCCCGACAGAGGCTGAACAAAAATCAACCACAGAAGAGTGACTGTGGATATGGGAGGTATTAAAGAGAACATCATGGCTCGTACTTGCCTCATGATTCTTCTTGATTTTGAGAAACACATGGGTAAACATCATGTAGCTGTCAAGAACCACCGATCGCTGCCAGATAGCAACCCAGCCAAGTGCATGTGAGCTTGCACAGCAGAGCAGCTTTAGAGAAAGCCATCTGGAATAGGGCAGCTCTCTGACAACAAATGGACACAGTTTTCACAGATGCATTGCAAAGATGAACTATGTAGTAGAGGGTCAACCTTCAATCCTGCACTCTGCTTTTTGTACAATGGGTTGGCAAAAACACTGTGGTTTGTGCCACATGTGGCTGTCAGCTGTAATCTTTTTGCCAAATACAAAGATAAGTATTTCTTTCCTGCATTGCACTTCTACTTCATATTCTTTTATTTGGCCTGGATCTGCTGGGAGTGTAGCTTACAAAGAGAATTGATATATACTCATTGGCACATGGTGCTGTCTTCTAGGAACATATGAGTTACTGGCTCAGATCACATATTTCTTGACTCCACTACCAGTGTGATGGTAGCCAACAGCAAAAGCTGCAAAGGAAAACACAAGAAAGCTTCTCTGAGAAATTCACTACCCCACGGGAAGCTGCTTTTGAACCTTATTAATTAGAGGTTAGTTTATGCCCTGAAGCATAAGACATTAAATCCCTTAGAAATATGCATGCCTGCTCTTAATAACTTCAGGATAATACAGAGATGTCATACAACTGACACCGCCTAGGAAGCATGTAAGTGTCCACTCCATTTAACAGATGGGCAAACAGGGAAAGCAGTCAAGCAGCTTCTCTTCAGTCTAGTCAGCAGCAGACTCCTGGCGGCACTGGCAGGGGAATATGACACAGCCAGCCTCCTGACGTGTTGAGCTGTATAACCCAATTCCTGCAGCACAGCCCCTCTGAGATTAATTTCCTCTTCTGCAAAATGGGTGTGTTTTTCTACCTTCTTAATGAGATTTTTAGAACTGAATAATATTTTTATTACACAATTATTATGCATTACCTGACACTAGGCAAAGTTAGAAAAATAAAGAGATGTACTGCCAGGGAATTAATTCATTTGTTTCACCACATTTCTAGAAGCTTTGTTCCCCATAGAGCTTTCTCAATGCACCATTTCTCAGCTAGTGTCCTTGCAAAGCTAGTTGCAGGCTCTTGTGCTTAAGTCTGATAAATAAGTTTGGGAGTGCGGTAAGCACAGAGTGTATTCAGATTTAGTCAGTAAACTTTACACTGATTTTTTATCTTTTTAAAAACATTTTGTTTTTTTGAAAGCCTCTAATGACCAACTGCTAAGATTCTTGAAAATCTCCAGTATGGTCTGGGAGCAAGGACAACTGTAAAATTTTATTATCCCATTTCCAGAAAACAACAGAGAGGAGTTTGAGAGAATGGAAAAAGAAAGAAAAGACTTATGCAGAAGCACACACCTTTTGTAAAATAATCATCTACAATGCCCTAAACCCAAGTACCAGTCCTTGGTCATATCAATGGAATTTTTGGATTATATCAAAACAGATCAGATTTCATAGGGACTGTCATCAGGATTGCAGCATGAGTTGTATGAACTAGCTAATACACTAGCTAGTCTGGATGTTAAAAAGCAATTAAACCATAACAGCACAGACCTTGAATTCTGATTAAGTGACAAGAGTTTGTCCAGCCTGCGCTGAAGCATGGGTTTCAAAAATTTTTTTTTTTTTTTTGATTGATATTCAAGCTAAGTTAAAGCTAGGAAGCTCACCTCAATGTACATACAGTCCACATTTTCTAAGTGGCCTTACTGCACCCCACAGTTTTCAATGTTAATATTTCCAGTCTGAGCATTGGTTGTATAACCCACCTTGACTATTTATGACCCACACTCCTTGCTAGAAGGCAAAGATAGCAAGAGGAACAGTACGCACTTGATACTTAAAAGTCCATCAGTCTCATGACAGTTTAGGTAGAGGGTGTTATGCTTGTTTCCCATAGGCCTAGAAGATGTAGAAGAAGCTGGCCCAGTGGAAGGGAGATTACACAAGCAATAAATGAAGAAGTCAAGTAGGAACAACAAGGAGCGGTTACTCTGCCACTGACTTGTACACCTAGCACAGCAGAAGAAGTGGCAAATTGCTGGTAAGTGGAGGCTGGTCCTTTCAGAAGGAAGAGAAGTTTAAAAAAGACTGGAAAACAAAAACCCTAAGTGTAGCAGGGTGAAGAGCACATGAGAGCAGCTTGACCTCTTGTCAACTCTGTACAAGACACCTGCCCATTCTGAAACAGAATGGGCTGCTTCTACAGCTCCGTAGCATGTTCCAACATCTCTGCACAGCTAAAGCCTGCCTGAGTTAATTGAAAGTTTCTTAAACATTAACTCTCTGTATTCTCCTACCTCAGCTTTGGGAAACACCATTAGTCAGTTATGATACACAGCAAACACAGTAATTTATGTTGCACAAAAAGCTTTACCACCCCACAAGCTACTTCTTCCAAGGGTATAATGCTGCATATGTAGGTACTACGTTTTCAATGACAGTTAACTCCAAAGAGCTGGAAGGTAGGTCAGTTTTTTTATTTTTAATGATCATAACAGAATCTTTCATTCTGATCCATGTAATAACGTAATTAAAGAGAGTATTTCCCCCTGGAAAAAATAGGGTTGGCACAGTGAACCTGTCCTCTAAGCCCAGCATAATGCATTTCCAAATGAGAGTGGAAGCTTCGCCATCCCAAACAAGGCCAGATGTAATCACATGCTTACATGCTCAGGGGCCATGACATGCAGCGTCACACCTAATGAGTGCCTTGGGCACTTCTGTAATAGCAGCAATATTCTTCAGGTAAGAAATACACTGCTTCATTACACAGTCTTTTACCAGAGTGACAGCTCAGACGGACAAAATCACATTACTGGTTTGGGTTTTTGGGGTTGGTTTTTTGGTTTTGCTTGTTTGGTTTTTGGGGTTTTTTTTGTTTTGTAGATTTTGTGTCAGGAACATTTTAATCCATTCTGCTCAGGTTAGTTAACTATTCATTATAGTGGAGACAGGTGAAATTAGTCTAATTTGTGTAGTTCTCTTATCCTACTCATTTTGCACAGTTCTATTCAAATAAACAAGAAGAGCCCCAGCATCAAAAGATTAATAGAAATGTATAAATATGATGCAGTCTAAAAGCAACACAAAATTATCTTTTCAAAAGGGAAGATCTAAAGTTATCACTCGTCAGACAAATCTGGGGTAGACAATTTTTCTAAATGAGACAATGAATATTACCTAAATTTTGTAGATTCTTCTGGTCTCCTTATCCAGGTGCAGTTCTGCAGTTTTGTGACTATGTGCAGATAATAATCTTCTGAATATCTAAAAAAAGGCAACAACATCAAACACTAGAATATATATGTATGCATATTTAGAAACAGTCTCTAAAACATTCAGACGATGCATGTATTAATAATAATGCGTGTGGTGCATATATAATAGCTTGCTTTTAGAACTCCATGGCCTATTTTATTTTTGCAATTTGTAACAGTATTATCCTCATTTAATTAGCATGACCTATTAAACACCACTTCTTAATAGTTATGTCCTAATGAACCTTTCTTTTCAGAAACTTTCAAAAGTACACCGATTTCAAACTTAAATATTTGACCATAAATATCTTGAAGTTACTAGAAATAACTTCAAGTGTGAGAATCTAAAATAATACATAAAACTTTTTCTTGTACTTGGTGTTTTAAACTTCAAAAATATTTTGAAATTAGGCTCTTGCAAGCCAAGATGAAACATTACACTTCTTATGCTTTTTCTTTCATTAACCTTACAGAGTCCCCAAAGCTCAATTCAATCATCTAAGACCATAGACCAATATTTACAGATGTAAGATTTCCTTTAAATTATCTCTTAAATAAAACAATCTGTTGTTTTACACCAACCAGCACTTTGGTTACATTGGCACATGTAACCAAAGAACTTTCTACTCCTTTTAAACCCTTTCAAGAGACTTAATTTGTCCATATGTGAAATACTTCAGAACATGTTAAGTCCAAAGAATGGAGACATTTCTTCCCTTATAGGTTCAATGCTAATACTTTTCCCATTTGTGCTTGGATCCTAATATAGGTTTTTTAAAAACAATAACTGAGTTATAAGGAGGACTGGGGGAATGGGAAGAAGAGATGATATGGATGCCATGACTACAAATTCTATGTGACTTGTGTCTCCGTTGTATTATTTCAGCAAAAATGGCTTAGTGCTGGCCTAAAACCAAATGATCACGAATTTATTTAGGCTGGAACTTAGAAGTGTGTATTTTGAACAGTTTTGCAAGAGTTGGGATGGCAAGAACCCTCACTTGTTTTCACATGGAGCATAAGAATTGATAAAAAGGCTGTGGTGGCTTGCAGCTGCAGAACTCAATGACCCAAAAGCTTCCTTCTCTCTCTGTGTGTTCAACATCCTTCTAGTACCACAGCTTTACAGTAAACATTTGAAAGAACAGATCCCTTTTCCTGTTTGCTTCACAAAAGTACAGCAACTGCTACAGTTATCTACCCGAGTAAAATCATGTCCCATTTCCACATGGAAAAATAAACTGAACTTTTGAGAGGAATTCTGCATTAGATTTGCTTCATAAAAGTACAGCAACTGCTACAGTTAACTTATCTACCCCTGAGTAAAATCATGTCCCATTTCCACATGGAAAAATAAATTGAACTTTTTAGAGGAATTCTGCATTAGAATTTGGTCTTGGCTCAAGTTTGCACCTGTGACAACATGTACAATTTTCATTCTCCAGACGCAGCAAACTCTTAATGGAACTAGATGATTGTGACTAAACTGAGTTTACTGAGCTCTTGCACAATGCAAGAGAACAGGAATGGATGCACAGAAGTGGGAGAAAGTGAAATGAGCTTCATTGCAGCTGTAGCTGATCCGACCTAGAGCAGTACATTCTTCCTCCTTCCAGTCCAACTCCAAATCTGTCCTTTCCCTTGTGCCACTACTGGTACTTACTTGCCTCCACCTCTGTTCTGTTTTTGACAGCTTTTGCACTTGTCAAATGCCTTCATAGGCCTCTTTAGTTCACTACCATGGCAAAAACAATAACCCAGAAGGAAAAAAAAAATGCATATACATTTTCTTCTTCAGTATGCTAAACCAGATCAGGAAAGATTCTGTCGAACACCACAGCCAGTATAAGCAAGTACTGATGGGAGCAGACAAACTGGGAACAAGGCTTTCCTATTTTGGCAGCTGCCTGCTGGTATGTTGTATTAGCAGCGTTGGAACTGCAGCCAGAGCAAATGGAACTGCTTTCTTGCTGAAGCTGCTACCTAAACTGGCTCACCATGGGGTCAGACAAGTGTCAGTACCAGCACAGGGAGTACATGGAGGAGGAGGATGGGATAGAAGCACAGGAACAAAATGGCCTATGCTGATGTTGCATCACTCATCCAGTTTTATTCCTTAAGACTAAACAATAAATAACTCTTAGATGCTGGGACTTAAGGAAAAAATCCAGAAATTAATAGGATAACAGGGCATGAAGAATTACTTAGGCTACCATTATCTAGGAGGAAAAAAATATAGAAAAAAGCAAATTCTAGCCTAAAGACATTGATAAGATGAAGATCAGAGTCAGAATTGAAAAGAAAAATTACCATCAGCTCAGAAAGAAATCTCATGGACTGGGAAGTTATCAGCAAGTTACAGGGAAACATTTGGTAAGGAGAAAAATCAAAGTATCATCCATAATGCTACTTCTGAGGTTTCATGAGAAATATGTGCACTCGCACTCACTGTCAGAAACCCTTCTTACACATGTAACAGAAGCTGTACCTAGGGTAAAAACACCAATTACACAGTGCAAGAACACCATTGCCGTGCCACTGCTCTCCACTGGATGAAACCACTCTTGCTTGGAGGTGTCTAAGCTCACCAGCTCACCCAGACCAGCACCACTGCCAGGTCTTTACAAGGCAGAACACCACCTTTGCTTGCCCGATGCATCCAGCTTTTGCTCCTCTTATGACTTACAACCAAAATACCGACTGTCAGAACTCATCTTTGCCAGTGCTGGCACAGCAGTGCAAGTGGCAGAGACACCCCAGCAGCACGTCCTGGGGACAGGAGCTCCCAACCACGGCAGCTCTGCAAGGCAGCCATCACATCTGCTCACACCAATATAACATTTCCATGAAACAAACTCTACTTGAGTACAGACAATACTCCCATAGATTAATTTTTTTTAAAGACTCAAAGTGAAGCTCTGGGATTTGCTGCAGCTGGGTTTGCAGCCCAGAAAGCTTTGCTTTCCTCTCAGAAAACCTATTTTAGCATTTCCTGCTTTAAAGGAGCCTTGGGGACTCACTTCTCCAATGGAATCAGTCCAGAAGGCCATCAGAATATCATTTCATGGCTCTGCTGTAACCCAGACAGTCCTCTTCTCCACTGTGCCGTTTTAATGACCTGGGACAATACATCTATTTCCACTGGCACCCAGGAGCTTAAAGCACATAATCACTGATGCTAAAAGGGTTTTATTGTTAAGATAAAAAATCTCAGGTAAATTGAACTATAAAAATACACGAACAAGACAATAACTACAGTGCCAAGAATAGTGAATGAAACATGTTTCATCTCTGTTTTGTCTGCCACCTGCACTACAGCCATTATAGTAACTTTCTGCTGTAGGAAATTCACTTACACTGTACAAGCCTTGCTGGTAAGTAACATTTGGAAGGATTTTTTTTGCCTACAGTGCTTGTCAGGTATGCAGTGACCTTAACTGCAGTGGCTAAGGTGGCATTCTTATGCACAGTCAAGACACTGACAAAGTATAAGTGTCTTCTAATTTTTGGCAGATATCTAAAGGACTACAGCAAAGACAGAAGTGTCGAGAAAGTAGAGAGACAATAGGTAAAACGTCAGAGAGGAGAAACAGATGCAGCCCCACTGGTTACTTGCTAAAACTAAATGCCTACTTGAAAAATGGCTCTTTGAATTAGAAGGAAAACGGAACAGCAGGAGTGAAAAAAGGAGACACTCCTTCTTGGCAGCTTATGTTCATGAAGGAAATAAACAAAAACAACAGTAGGAAATGCAAGAGAAAATGAGGATCCCTTTTGCCTTTGGACACTTTAAGACTACGAAAACAACTATCTGTTTTTAAAGCCCTCAGGAAAGGGTGCACAGGGCTTGCTCTAGAATAAGAATGGAAAACTGCCAGCAAAACTCAGCATTTCAGGCTCTTTATCACCACCAGCACATACCTGCTGCCATAATAACTTCCCACTTACATAGCATTTTTTACTATCAAATTATTTGACAAGCTTTAAACTAGTAATTTTTTTCCCTTTCTGCCAACTGAAGAGGCAAGAGTGTCCAGAATGTCCCTGAAAGTCTAGGGTTGCAATATAAAGCATTTATCTACCACGGTTGTGGGTCACACCTTGAAAAAGCAACAAAGATACCTGCAGCTTTTCTCAGTGAAGGGCAATGAGTTGAAATATTCATGGCACAAAGCAATCCCTTGCTCCTTTGTTCCAAGCATCAGTTTCTCTTCCTACCTGCCCAATTCATCTTCTGCCTCATTGAATGGTGCAGCTCCTTTCTCTTTAGCCACAGAATAAAGGTCTCACACTTCGTAAAGTTTCTCCTACAATCTCAGTTCCAAAACGTTCTACCTATGAAGAGCCTGTACAACTTCATAACACACAGGATAAATAACAGCATTTATATTGCTATAACTGGATTTTGGAGGCAACACAGTGACTGGTTGTCCTTCTTTTGGTGTTAATCACTCAATGTTTCAGTCAACTGTATTCTTTGACCTCTGTTTGCCAGTCTCTGTTTCAGCTCTCACTAGCAGTGCATCAGTAACATAGCAGTCTACCACCTTTCAAAGCAGTAAACACGTCAATAATAGTGTTGCTGATGAAGTGGAATATTGGTGGGAGAAGAGGCTATAGAGAAGAAAAAAAAAGAAAGAATTAAAAGAGTAAAGACAGAATGCTGGGAATATGGTGACTTAACAACAGGTGAAAGGTCTTAAAATGCAATGAGAAAGTGAGGAGGGGGCAGAAAAGACAGGAGAAGCTTTAAAATAATGATTTAGGGTTGTTTCTGTGTTAAGAAAAAATTTTACTTCTCCAGTGCTTTGAATGGGGAAAGATACATAATGATTTTCAGCAGAGCTTTTGTTTCTCATTCATTCCTCTTCTCCTCACAAATGGGGGACGGGGCAGCTTCCAATTTTAAAAACATTGTGGCACAGAATTTTAAGCTGGAACTTGGTCCTAGTAGGAAGCCTTTCTTATTTACAATGTTGTATTTATTGGAGCTTCCATATAGGCAAAATGTTACATGTCAAAAGCAATGGGCTGCTTCTTCCATTTTCACTTTAAAAAGTGGCAAGGAATTTGAGCAGGGCTGATATCAGAGATTTTTTTCCACATCGGGAAAAGGGAGAACTGTGAGTTGAAACCCAAAATTAATTTGGGGTGTTTTTTCAATATGTCTAAAACTGAATTATTAGTTTCCTGTGGACTAGTTATTATAATAAGTGCAATTAATTAGCAAGTTATTATAGCAGTATATTTCCATACTTACTCTAGTGAATTTGTTGAAAAGAATCCATTAACTGAGGCTGCTCATAGCAGGAGTGTTCACCAATCAGGAAAAAGACACTCAGGAATGAAATTATACCTCACAGACTCTGATCAACCTTTTTGTGGATATCTTGCAATAAAATGTTGCTAACTGGCAAGGAGAAATCTTGTTGACTTGTATTGCAAAAATAAAAAAAAATAAAATCCAACCTCAAATAAATCTAATTCATGTGAAAGAAAAAATGCAGGCAAACATTGGCTGAACAATTTCAGTTTCCTGTTTTATAGCTCCACATTAATATAATCGACAATTACGTAAGAGAGGACAATCTTTTACCCTTTTATTTAAAACAAACGAAGCAGAAATCACAGCAAACACCTACCTTTTCTTCTTGATAGATGATGACAAAATGTTGTCCTGAACTGCCTTACATTTTGAAGCCTGTTCAAACTGGTAAATTCCATTTTTATTAACAGTTGTTCTGTTAAAAAGGCAGAGGGGGAAAAAAAAGCAACAAACTTTAAAAGAGAGAACATATTCTGACAATGCTGTCACATGTACTTTGGTATGACAATAAGATTAGTAACTGTTGATTTAGCTCAAAACATTACCAAAGAAATCTTATTGACTTCTATTGTGTGTATAAAAGGGCAGTTTGCTGCTAGTGACTACAAAATATTTGGTTCTTTAAAGTAACCCTATTTCATAGTCTGAATTATATTTTCTGCTTTACGCTGTAATCAGAAAATGTAATTTTAAAAAAATGAAATTAAATAGGAAGCTTCTTGAACATTATGTTTTGAAGATATTTAAAATATTCACCAGTAAAATATTTAGCAATGTGATTTCCTAAAGTTGTTGATGAAATGTAATATTCAGAGCCCATATAACATGTACAGGAAACACCGTCGGTGAAGTAGATCTTTTTACTTGGACTTTAATTATTGACTCGAGCTTAATAATTCTGCCCTTGTTTATTCTTTATTTACACAGTGAGAATAAATATTTGTAAAAGGAACCAAAGCAAGTGCCAGACAGTGATCTTTAATTCCTGTTGTCTTATTTTCACCAAAATCCTGCATGGAACTCTTGCTCCGGCAGTCCCAGTAGAAGATTGAGGTGTAAATTAGTAAATGACTGAGATACCAAGGTCTTATTCCATTCACTACAGTTCACCCTGCATCTAGGTTCAATCTCATGCAACCACCCTCTTCCATCACCAACCTTCTGCTGCGGGTATTGTCATTTATCATTAAGTTTTTTTCCTCCAGCATTTTTATTTTGCTTGCTCCTCACCATTTCCCCCTCTCCCCTTTCCGCTGATTCCCTACTTACAGAGCACTTGGACACTTCAACCTCTTTGTCCAAACCAGAACTAGAAATACAGAAGACATGGATGCTGTGTCATTCACTCCTGAGTGTGAGCTGCAGCAGCATACAGAACCCACGCTGTTCTTAGAAACACGGAACAACCGAGCCACCTCTGTACAGAGGCACTCATACACAAAGAGAAAGGGTCTTCCTGCTCTGCACATAACACTCTGCTTCTGAACCATCATTCCTTTTACTAACAAGGACCAAAACTCCATTGCCTTCACCTGTTAAACCATGGAGACTACTTATCAACAAGATTTCTGACAAGCTGATTTTTAAGCTCTTACTTGGGGAAGATGCCATTTCAAGTCAGAATCACAGAGTGGCTGATGTTGGAAGGAGGGTCTGAAGGTCATCTGGTCCAACCTCCTACTTAAGCAGAGCCTCCTAAAGCCAGTTGCCCAGGACCATGTCCAGATGGCTTTTGAATATCTCCATCGATGGAGACTCCACAAGCTCCCTGAACAACCTATGCCAGTGCTCAGTCACCCTCACAGTAAAAAAGTGTTTCCTGATGTTCAGAGGGAACCTCTTGTGTTTCTGCTTGCGTCTGCTACCTCTGGTCCTGTCACTGGGCACCACTGAGAAGAGCCTGGCTCTGTCCTCTTTGCACCCTCCCTTCAAGTACTGATAAGGTCCCCCAAGCCTTCTCTTCTTAAACACCTAAAACCTTAAATAATTCAAATGAGAAGATGACTGACTGAAGCAGAAAGAGCAGAATAAATGTTTGTTTATTTCGCTTCTGAACTAACTGGCATGTTCATACCTATGGCAGGGGAGGAAAGGGAACAAAGCATCCTTCCTTCTCTTTCCATTGCCTGTGAATTTTCTAGTGAATCAGTCGGTCCATAGGAGCAATTCACCCAGGAAGTAGGCTGCAGAGGAGGGAGATCAGCTCTCCCTTTCTTTCCACCAGCAGGAACTTCTTCCCAGTATGCACTCAGTGCCCCTAAGGAAGTACACAGTCTGCACACCCCTTGTTGAGAGCAACGGTAAGACAACACAATGTAAACCTCTGTCCTTTCAGTTCTGCAGTGACTTTAATAGATAGTAGCTGCTGGCTCTACCTATGGAGAGCTCCCTGGCTGACTTTGCATACAGCTCCTTAGCTAATTCTTTTCCAAGGAGCAACACACAAGTGTGAGGGCAGAAGGCTCTTAGAGCCCCCAGTTCAGAGGATCAAGCACACAACTCAGCAATCTTACATAGTAAATGCTGGCATATGTTCTGCCTACACCATTTACACACACAGGTTTATTGCAGCTTTGTCTGAATGGTTCTGTCTACACCAAAGAACCAGGTGGGCCCTTTCACAAAAGGACCCAATACCAGTTTCCAAAAAAAATAGCACTAAATTGTGTTTCTTCTCTCTTGCTTCTTTAACTCAGCAAGCTCAAATGATGCTTCTGCAGCTGTAGCTTAAAGTAAAAGAAATGGCTATAGGCAAAGCTTAGCTGTATAAACAGCACCTTAAGAAAAGAACTATTGATATAATAAGCCAAGTGCACGTTACTGCTGCAAGTAAGTCTTTCATAACAACTGAAAATCAAGACGCTGGACGCTGATTTAGAAGTGGTTCCAGCCCTTCTGCGCCATAGCTGGCCAGAGGAGACCTTCTTTAACACATGAAGCCTGCCGGGAAGACCAAGTCAGAGCAGGCGGTTAGGTTTGACCAGCTCGCTGCGAGGTGCGTTTGCAGGCATCGTCAGGGAACCAACATTCTTTCACAAGTAGGTTTCAGCTCCGTACAGAGAATCATTACAAGGTCCTTACAGCTTCCTATCAATTTATGTCTTGAGATCAGTGGGGCAGTGAATAAATATCCTCTCAACCAAATACAAGCTTTATTCAACAGACTTTCAGTCTTTTTAAATTTGTAGCACTAAAATCAACTGAAGCGAGTTTACAGTTGGACTCAATGATCTTAAAGGTCTTTTCCAAACTAAATGATTCTATGATTCTAAGATGCCTTGGTTTTTAAATACATAATTGCTTTTTATTAACACATTATCAAGACCTGAAAAATTCAAAAAAAGAAAGAAGTCAGATGAAAAAGAATGAGCAAAATAAATCCCTATTCTCTTTTTTTCATTAAATCCTGACAATCACTTTTACAGCCATCAAGGGGAGAAAAAAGGAATAAGGAGTCTGTCATTCCCTTTCTACTACACATGTAAAGATTGGTGAAAATGGCACAGCTGTGAGGGAAACCGACACAAATTTTAATCCAGATTCTTTATCCATTAATGCAGGCACAAGATAGATCACCAAAATGCTTCTTCTGTGGCTTTTTCCACACAAAATTTACTCAACATTCTTTATACAGTACAAAAATATTTTTTAAAAAATTATTTGCAAGACATGCAAAACAATGACTTATTCTAGTAAAAGTTAAATTTCTGAATTTCTCTTTCACCATCAGAGTGGCCTCTCCTTCATATGAGTGACAGATTTTGACATTCAGATAAAAGGGGTGTGCAAGGGGCAGTCCAGACTTCTACTGCATTATTCATTGTAGAGTTGTGCAGACATCAGACTCAGATTAGATTTCTGATCACTTAGGACAATTACACTAGGCAACATTTATCATTATATGAATTTACCTGACCTAGTAGATGCCAGTCTCTGTTCAGTACTTAAAATTGCACTAAAAATTCTGCAATGAAATCAGATAACATGCCTAACAATGCAAATATCAGGTTACACTCAACTAATTTTGCAAACTCTAAAACTAGATGAGATCTTGAAGTGGAAACCATGTTATATTCTGTTGGTTTGAACTCACAAAATGACGACACAGGGGAATTTCTGCTGTATTTCCCTTAGAGTTTAGATGTTGTCAAAGCCAACCTCACTGGCCAAATTCTGGCAAACAGGGGTTTTTTTTAATCATATATGAACAGCTTGAGAACCACATACTTCCTATGGTAATTCTAGGAACTCAGAAAGTACACCATCTGTACTTTAATAAATCCACAGTAGATTAAGATCACGTGCCATATTATCAGCACTTTGTTATTCTATATCTTACTCTCAGGAAGACAGCAGTTCCTTAAACTGTAAAATTCTTTAAGATAAGGATTGAACCTACCTTTAGAATAAGAAACAGAGAAACTATATGGAAAGTCCACAGCCCTTTTTGCTGCACTGGTAGCATTCAGTCCTGAGACTATAGGGAGCCTTAGCGTAGGGAATCACCAGACAGACAGGTACCTCAGTTAACATGGAGCTCTGGGGGAGCAGCAGTACAGGAAGGGAAAGAAAAGGGAAGCCCTTTAAAAACCCTAAAGAGCTACCAGAGTAGGAAAATGGACGGACATAAGTTAGATTTAAAAAGGGTGAATGGTAGGGGGGGAGAAAAAAACCAAACAAACAAAAAACCCAAAACAAACAAAAAAAACCCCACAAAAACAAAACCAAACTCAGATGGAAAAAGGAAATATAGCGCTGTGAATTACACCATAACAAAGATATGCCCAGGACTGAAATGCCAGTCCGCCAGAATTGCCATAAAATCAGGTGGAAACAACTGAAAGAACAGGAGTGAGATTTTTAAAATAGCTCAGAACTGGACTGTCTGTCAGCACTGAAAGTAACAAGAATTTCACCCCTAATTTCAGATTAAGTCCATACTGAATGTAAGGAAAAATCCCACTCATTGGCTTTATTCACTCTGTGCCCAGCAGAATGCTGTTGCACTTTTTCTATGGCTTCCTGCTCTTGTCTGCCTGAAGCAGCACAAGATCTCTGAACCCTGTTCCAGCTGAGCATCTCCAGCTAAAAAGGATAACTTCTGTGTGCAAAAATGCACATTTATATCCTTCTACCAAACTGGCACTGAACAACACTATCCAGATTGTGAATACCTTCTGTCTTAATCTCTCCCTTGAAGAGACTAATTTATATTTGAATCTCATAGTCAAATAGTTGAATACTATTAAAAACTCATAATCCATACCTCCCTAGGAAGGGTGCTCTTAAGTGCTATCTTTGACACTATTTCAAATGAATCAGTTTATAAGAATACAGTGATGTTTTTAAGGTTCACAACACCTTGATTAGTAAGGCAATATACAATTTAAATGCTCGGTGAAATGGACTATAAAAATGGCTTTATCAAAGCATAAGAGTAAGAATTTGTCTT